ACTGTTGTACAAATTACGAACTATAATTACCAAACCGACTTGCCCTTTATGATTTTAAAAAATGAAAAACTAGCGGATTTCTGCGGATTCTGGAACAGAGCAAATGTCTCTAAAATCATATAAATACCGAATATTTGGAGCTACCGTTATATAGGGGCTATATGAAGGCGTGGACTTTGTTGGGTTTGAGATGAGTATTTCGAGGAGTTACAAACGGAATGACAGGGACAGTACCAAAATGGGAGCCTATGTAGACAATTGTAGGCTATTAAGATTGTAATATATTCAGATCCTTAAATACCAAATTTGCCATAATTTCGTGGACAAATGTGACTAGGATTATCAAAGTACCGAATATCGGTCTATTATCATATACCGAACCGTCGTATGAAAACCGTTGAGAAATATGGACAATGTTTTGAAATCGGGACACGTGGACCGATATACATTACTTTTAATACAAACCATCCTAAACACAATACAGACTACTGTGCCAAATTTTAAGGCTCTACGTCAATTTTAAAGCTCTATCGTGATTTAAACAGACAGACGGACATGCAGACGAACATCGTAAAATCGACTTAGAATTTTATGCTGACCATGAGTATATACTTTATGGTGTTGCAAACGGAATATACCCACCTTTACAAGGTGTGGGTCATGGTATAATTATTACAGCTAGCAGCAAAACCCAGCTAATTTGACTATAATTATACTGCTACATTTAAATAAATAAATGAAAAAAAAATTCAAAATAACGTTTTTGATATCATTCCATTTCTCGATATACACATGGTAGAATTAAGAAGGTAACAATTTTTCATGGTAGAAGAATACAGGTAGTCGCACCGACACAGATGCTGGGATAATGAACTGTCAAACCGATTTTGATATTGAAAATCGTGAATGAAAAATTATTGAAATTTGTAAAAATTGTTGACAAATACATATCAGTACAACCTCCGATTTGCGTCGCATAAGAAAACACATAAAAATCGACTCATTTTTGAAAAGCATTAAAAAATTTTGACATATCAATGTTCCCAAGCGTTGATGCATCTAACTATATTCTTCTACCATAAATTTTTTTTTAAATTTTTCATGTGACATCTCTTTGTCAAAATATTTATTTATAAATCCATTGGACACAAACAAATCAGAGATAAGAACCAACTTTCTTTGCAGTGAAATTTGACAAGGCAAATTACAGAAAATGCAAAGATGGGAATGCTTATTTGTAATTTCCTTTTCCCTTAATTTTACCATGGATACACAGTAGGTATACTCTTTTTTATAAAATTTAATTACAGGGCAATGTGAGCAGGGCAATCTAAAATATTAGAATTAAAGAAGGAGTCTTCTCAAACATTTTCGTGTAATCACTTACTTTCAAATCAGTTTTTCGTATCATAGCAGAATTAAGGTAGTCGCATCGACACAGAATTGAAAATTTTGAATGATAAAATATTTAAATTTGTAAAAATTGTTGAAAAATTCATGTAATAACAACCTCCGATTGGTGTCATACAGGGTTGCGCATATTCGACGGACCCATCTGGCAACGCCATAACTTTTGACAGAGATGTCACATCGCTTAATGACATACCGCGTTTGAAGCGTCAGTCCAAGTAGATTTTTACCATGAACCAATACACGCCACTCGAGCGCTCTGAAATAGTTGAAATTTACATTCAACAGAAGAAGTCAATTGTGAAAAAAAATGTGAGAAGTGCGCCTTCTAAGAACACCATTAAGCGTTTATACGAAACATTTTCTACTGGTAAGGCTCTTTCTAATCCGAAGAGGCCATATAAAAGTCGACCAAGGCGATCGGCCGAGAATATCGCTGCCGTACGAGCCAGTGTTGAGAGGTCCCCAAGAACATCCCAAAAACGCCGTTCTCAGCAGTTGGGCATGGCTCGGTCCACTTTACAACGGATTATTCGCATTGATTTGCATTTGTTCCCGTACAAAATTCAATTGACGCAATGAATGTTGCCTGCGGACAAGCCTCGTCGATTGGAATGGGCCCAAAGGTCCGTCGAATATGGGCAACCCTGTATAAGAAAATATATAAAAATCTTCTTAAATTTGGAAAAACATTTTAAAATTTTCAGTGTTCCCAAGCGTTGATGGATCTGCCTGCATTCTTCTACCATGGTTTACCCCATCATAAACATATCGAGTTAAAGTTCAAAATCTCTACCCGGCTTAACCATGATAATTGGCCAATCACAATAAATTTAAGCCAAGTATTTTTTTTAATCCCCAACTTTGTTCTACCAAAAATTGAATTTGAACTAAGTATTGACAGGAAAAAAATGTTCATGTAGACTCCCTCTTTAATTGTAATACTTATTTAGGACGAGATTTTTATAGGGAAGCCTCCAGAGCCGATCTGCAGTCATGACCTCCAGTTGAAAATCAGAAACTCTTCAACTTTGTTCTACCAAAAACTGGTTTTAAACTTATTATTGACACGAAAATGTTCGTGAAGACTCCCTCTTTAATTTTGATGCTTCATTTTGGACGAGGTTTGTAGATAGAGCCCCTGAGTCTATTTTCTGTCCTGACCACCGGTCAAATCTAGCTGAACAAAAAAGAAACAGGACAATGTTAGTCTGGGAAAAGGCATTAGTTAATCATTTTCCACATTTGAAGAATCACACAGTGCTTGAAATAGAAGAAAAATCAAAGTCAACTTGACCAGTGTTTTACTGAAGAGCAGAGGTTTTTGGATAAGAAAGTAATGCAGGCTGAACTGGCATTAGTGGTGTTTTGCATTTGCCACAACCTACCCTCCGCATAATGGATTTTTTCCTTTCCTGTTGCGGGAATGCGGTCTAGAATCTCGCATTGCAAAATTAATTAAATGGGGGCAAAATTAAGATACTCGATTGGCTGAGACTTTAGTGGAGAATTCCTAAGAAACATAACATCCAATGGGGCCCTCAAAATTTCCCCTTATTGTGAATGAAACAATGGACGTACGGATCGTAAATGCTTGATATTGGTCGTGATTATTTTATTTATTTACTTATTTTATTTTATTTTATTTTTGACAAAATTCCTAAATCAATAAAGGACAAGTTTTTATCTTTATTGGAATTGGTTCAAGTTGACCCGAATTCCATATGTGAAACATTTTTTTTCGATAAGAATAATATAATACCCCGTAGTTGTAAAAGAGTCAACGAACTGTAAGAATTTAAGAGTATTGTTATTCCGAGCCGCGTGAAATGCTGTGACTTTCCTTAACTAGGTGGTTAGCGCTGGATATTGAAACCAATAATTTGGTAAACATGTTGCCTACACTGGAAGTATTTATTGGCAGTGAAGCGGAAAGATATTAATGAGACAAAAAATTAGCGGAACCGCATTTTTCATATTTAAATGAACATGATTATGATATATTAATTACACAATGGAGACATTATGCTCTATTAGAAAATTATGTCAATGAAGCCGATTATATCTTATCATTCTGGCAAAAAATAAGTTCGATAATAAACGGACTTGATGAATTTAGCTTTAAAGAATTGACTGACTTTAGTTGTGTTCCAGAACCTGCAAATTAGTACTAATTAGCACTAATTCTGCTACAACGCGTTCCCGTACTCCAAAAACTAGCAAAACTTGCAGCTCTCTCGAGAAAAAATGGCGCTGAGTGCTGCACATTTCTACTTGTTTTAGCTACATGAATTTGGCCCAGCAGAAATGTGCATTTTGTAAATTTGACATTTAATTGGCAGGGCTAACAAGGTTGAAAAATGTATTGATACATTTCAATAAAGAAAATGATCAACTTGAAAACTAAAGGAAAAACTAATATTTCTCGTGCAAAAAACAAAAAGAGAAAATATGGAGCAACTGATGTATTCACTTTTGGATGATTCCAGCAGTGAAGAGGACTGGCTGAATGAGGAATCGATTATTAATTATTATTATAAATTATTAATTTTAACTTATCGTCTTCAATATTCATTTTTTAAATGTTGGCGCTCTTTTCAGTAAGGTTTCACCAGTCCGATTTAGGCTGTTTACTTTTGGAATTTTGAATTTTGACATTTTATCGCATTTATGCTAATTTTCCGTTCCCTTATTTTTTGAGCAAACCTAAATGAGAATGACATTTCGAACTGTTCTCTCTTCTGCTAGTTTTACTATTAAAAAAGTACTGGAACACAACTTTTATTTTTAATTTCATGCTCCCTCCAAATAGCTTAGCAACTGCAGAAAAAACCTATTTATCTTATATTTAACAAAACCCAAATATAATTTATTTCTTTAAACAATGTAATGCTGGCTAAAAACTGGCTTTGGCTAATAACCAATATTAAGTTTGGTCAGAAATGGATTAATTTAGACACGGACGGTAATATTAATTATTTTTTATTTTAATTCGTACATATAAGGAATTGAAATATTTTTTTTGTTCTTAAAGGAAATGAAATCATTTATGTTATGCCTTGTTATCAATAAAAGTTATTTTTTTATAATAATAATAAATTGTTGGTAACTTTTTGGTAAATTTTTCCGGAAATTTGGGTAGGAATTTTTTTACTCAGTGGTAACCGTTGTTGTCATTTTCTCTGTTCCAGAACCTGCAAGCATGGTAGAAGAATATAGGTACGTGGTAGAAGAATACTGATAGATGCATCAACGCTTGGGAGCATTGATATATCAAAAAAAGTTAAATGTTTTTTTTTAAATCTTAGTAGGTTTTTATATATTTTCTTATACGATGTCTTTCGGAGTTTATTATAATTCGTGTTTTTCAACAATTTTTACAAATTTAAATAATTTTTCATTCAACATTTTCAATTACACAATTGGTTTGACAGTTCATTGTCCCAGCAGCTGTGTCGATGCGTCTACCTATATTCTTCTACCATGTCTACCATGTCTAGAAGAATCTACTATATTTGAAAATTTTCATCAGCAACGTTGAAAAAAGTATTAAATGTAATATTGGGGAGTTCTGTGCCACCCTGTGAATTTCTATATTCGTTATTATCGAAAGTTTGCGTCGTTGCTTACTTCACGCAGGTCATTTTGTGACGTGTTTCAGTGTTAAAGCCGCTAGCTTGTCGACTATTAGTAGAAAAAATGGAGTTCGTTTTCAAAAAATTTTGTGCTGATTATGTCAATAGAACTCCAAGAAAAATGAAATTGGTAGACGTTTATTTAGGCTTCGTTTTGTTAACGGGAATCATTCAATTTATATATTGCTGTTTGGTTGGAACATTTCCCTTCAATTCGTTCTTATCTGGATTTATCAGCACAGTGAGCTGCTTTGTGTTGGGAGTTTGCTTGCGACTACAGGCCAATTCTCAAAATAAACATATTTTTGGAGGAATCTCTTCCGAAAGAGGATTTGCTGATTTTATTTTTGCGCATGTTATACTTCATTTAGTAGTTATGAATTTTATTGGTTAAAATAAATACAATATAAAACATTTACGTTTCCTTCATTTATAATCTGATTGGAACAAATTCAGGCTTAACTCTAGTTTAGTAAAAACTCTTCAATTTTTTCGAAATTTTTTCCAGTGGTAGGTATTTTTACCCTGATCCCGGGAAACTATTTTTTTCTTGGGGGACGGAGGTGGCCCCTGATTTTTGATCGGAAAGTCCAGGTTCAAGACCCCGACTAGACCCGGATCCAATTACCCGATATAGATAATAAGCATCAAATTTAGAAATCTTTGGTTTGCGTTAGGCGGTGTTGGACATACTCAGAGGTGAAAATCGAAAGCCCTGGCCGAAGGCCGGCTATTTACGAAATTTGTCAAATTTAGAAAAGTTTGGTTCGCGTTAGCTGGTGTAGGACATACCCAGAGGAGAAAATCTCAAGCCCCGGCCGAAGGCCGGCTACTTACAAAAGGTATCCCATTTAGAAAACTTTGGTTCGCGTTAGCCGATGTGGGACATACCCAGAGGAGAAAATGTCCGACCCGTAAATTCTAGTTCTACGAAACCGATATGTACAAAGTGGGCAACATTTGAAAGCTTATGGAAATGCCTACCCAGAAAATGTACATTGCTTCCGGTGTGATACAAGAAAAATTGTATTTTTGTACCGGAACTTTGGTACAATAGTTTAGTAAAAACTCTTCAGTTTTTTCAGAGGTAGGTATTTTTGCCCTGATCCCGGGAAACTATTCTTTTCTTGGGGACGGATCCATGACCCCAGTTTTATGACCGGAAAGTTTGGGGTCAAGACCCGGATCCAGTTATCCGATATAAACAATGTAGGTATCGGTATAGACCTATTTCTACCTAGGTAAAGCTTATGAAAATACCTATCCAACAAGTGGTCAAATGATGGTGTAAGTGGTCACGGTTCGGAAGTTATAGTAACATTTCCGTTTTTTGGACTTGGTTTTTTATAAAACCCTCAAAAAGTCGAAAAAGTGCCCATTATGGGGGTCAACAAAATTGATGCCGAATTATAGCTGTCACTCTTACCTTTCCAAAATGCTACAATTTGTGCTAATACCTTTTTTGGGTTCAGAGATATTCTCTTCTGGGTACGTTCAACCAGCTAACGCGAACCAAAGTTTTATAAATTTGACACTATTTGTAAATAGCCGGACTTCCATGGTAGAAATACCAGGGTAACCCCATACCGGGAAACGCGAACAAAAGTTTTCTAAATTTGATACTTTACTCCTTTGAGTATGTGGCTAACGCGAACCAAAGTTTTCTAAATTTGGTACTTCTTGTAAATAGCCGGACTTCGGCCGGGGCTTGGGATTTGCTCCTCTGGGTATGTCCCACATCGGCTAACGCGAACCAAAGTTTTCTTAATTTGGCACTTTTTGTAAATAGCTGAATTTGACGCTTTTGTAATTCCAACGACGGCTACGTGAAATAGACCTTTTTTATTGGAAAAATAATTTAAATGAATGGGTTAGAATCGGGTTATGCGGATGAGTCTTTCCTCATATCTCTGGACCCAGATAACGTATTATCACAAATTGTAGCATTTTGGAAAGGTAAAAGTGTCAGCAATAATTTGGCATTAATATGGTTGACACCCACAATGGGATTTTTTCGACTTTTTAAGGATTTTATAAAAAATCCGGGACCAAAAAATCAATAATTTGACTATAACTTCCGAACCGTGACCACTTACCCCATCATGTGACAACTTGTTGCTTAGGCATGCTTTCCAATAAATTCTGGAAATAGGTTATTAGTAAACTATATATGTAAGTATTTATAATTAGTTTATTGAGTAGTTAATTAAATAGTTAGTTAGATGATCAATGATAATCAAATACTTACATTTTGTTTGAGTATTGTCTCATTCTGCTGCACCAAATCATCGAAGGCATGCAAAATTCTTCTTCAAAATTCTTTTAACGTTCCTTAACATTATCTTCATGATTCTTGTCTTCAGTTTAATTTCTTTTTTCCAAAATTAAATTTTCTGTTTTTTTTTTTGCCATCCTTTTTATTTTAGCCTTTTCCATTTTCTATTTGATTTGCTGACATTTTCCTTATAAAAACGTCAAATTAACTTGCACTTTTTATATATCTTTTTACTCAAAAGAGATTCATTTTCGAATCGCTTTTCGATCATACAAGTGAGTTAATCATTTTTTTGATAACCAAAAGGACTCGAAGAAGACTCACCAAAGTGATTTTTTTCAAAAACCATCTTCCAAATGCTAGCTGGGTATGTACCTTTACAGCTCCAAAGCCCGCGGAGCAAGTTGAGTTTGGGGGCTATGCTCGGATCATTTTGAAATTTCTACCGCAGGTGGGTATTTTTAACCTGATTAAGGAAAAGTAGTTTTTCCGTGGGGGAAATACCCGGTTATTTGACCCAAAAGTTCGAATACAACATTCTTCAAAATGGGTATCATTTGAAAGCTTATAGAATTACCTATCCAACAATATGTCATATGATGCTACATTATAGCCTATATTCTTACCTATCCAAAATGGTATCATATGTGCTGATATCTCTTATAGTTCCAAAGATATTTGTGATGCAGGTAATGAAATTTAGATCTTTTCCACAAATATGTATGTATTTAAGCTTCTTTACTTCGACCGGTGCTTGAAATTTTCTCGCCTGTGGTATATTCAACACCGGCTACGCGATCCATAGTTTTTCTAATCATTGTAATTTTTGCGAACTTCGGCGTCGAATAACTGGGTATTTCCTCCACAAAAATTACTTTGCCGTAATCAGGTTAAAAAGATCTACACATGGTAAAAATGTCAGGTCAATCCGAACATAGTCCCTAAACTCAACTTAAGCCCAAATTTGTATCCGAACTTTTGGGTCAAATAACAAGGTATTTTCCCCACACGTGATAACAATTTGAGATCAATCCGAGCATAGCCCTAAACTCAAGTAAATGTGTTGTTACTGTCATCGGTATAAAGACATACTTATGGTAACATTTTAAAGCATTTATTTTGCCTATCGGGTTAGAAATAGCAGGAGGAAAAGCATTTCTCCCCAAAGATGATGTAGGTTGTAGCCACAGACGTAGCTCTATAAAAATGTCAGTTTTTTTCGCCAGCTGCCTCGAAACTCAATTTAAGACGTCACTTGAATGTTTGTGTATATTAAAATACCTATGCAATAAGTGGTCACATTATAAGGTTGAAAACATGGTATAATAAAAAGGTAAGGTAGAGCTCTCAGCCGACTTCTGCCATTTTTGTGTATCTATTTGTTGTTTTGAAAACAAAACATTTGCAAAATCAATGATTAAATTACTTGGCGCGCATTAATTATATGAACCAGATTGAATTGGAATTGAGAGATTGAACAATTAGGAACACATTTTTTAAAAAACATCGTTTTAGAAAGGAATAAAAAATATCAAATAAATTAAATTGTTGCCTATAATTTTGAATAATTCTGACAGGAAGCGGGCATAGCCCCAAGCGGGTAATTTTGTAGTTTTACGAAGCTGTTCTACCTTCTTATTGTGGTACACCTTAAGCGTTTGTGAGACAAAGTTGGGAAGTCATTCGGATGGGGATTAAGTTTTTTTTTTCTCTATAGAAACCCCGACAGGCGATGTAAAGTTTTATAAGTTTAAAACGTTCACCTATGAGAGCAGATACTAGTATCGGCAATTTGACTAATCGTCCTTTTTTATTTGTTTTCTTATTTATACGGCCTTTATAATCACTGGCTCTAGAGCTTCATATTGTTACCTATTTGTCATAAAAAATGTCCATGTTTGTTCTTATATTCTATGTTCGAGATATTGCAGAGTATATACGATTTATGCAATTTTTCTCGATATCATAAAGGGAAAATCAGTTTTTGTAGTAAAACATTTTACATTCTTGCAGTTCTTGAACAAGCTCCGAATGTTTATTATATTCGGAAACATAGCGGATAAATAATAAAATTGAAATAAAATATCAGATTTTCAAACTGATTTTTTTAATTACTTTTTTTAATTGCAGTTAAAATTGTGAAAATTTTTATACATTTGTCAGTATACATTTACATAAACCTGAATATCAAAGAGCCACCAAATTTTAATTTCTACATTCCCTCTTCGGATGTAGGCAACCAAAATGCCATATTGGTACATGCTGAAGCCAATAACATGTATTTTGGATTAAACTGAACACATTGCACTGGACCAGGATGATCGCCATTTAGCACACAAACTTTGTAGCCGGTATCTGCATTCCAAACATGAACGCGACCATCTGTACTTCCGGAAAATATGAATTGTGAATCTGGACTGAAACTGGCTTCAATTGGAATTCCTTTGGTATTTGGATAGCCCGTGAAGGTCTGAAGTGGCGTTCCGTGGAAGGCATCAATCAATCGAATTATAGAACCATTAGTGCTTATAAGTATTGTCTTTCCATCTCTAGAAAATTTTAAGCCCGTCCAATCACATTCTTTTTCTTGATTTAATTTAAATGTGACAAATGGACCTTTATCAAATGATCTTAAATCATATAATTTTATACTCTCCGAGTTAACGCCCGCTGCAAAAATCAAACCTTCTGGATCATACGCCGCGACCGGTCTTCCTGAAAGATGCATCAATCCTTGACAATTCGGAGAACGCAAGTCCCATAGACGTAAGGTCTTGTCTAACGAACCTGATAAAAAAGTATCTTCAACTGGAGAGATGCAGAGCGATATCACTTTTTTGGTATGGCCCGGGAAGTATCGCAAATATTTGTTGTCATGGAGACTTAGGTACCTTATAGTATCATCTACTTTAGTGGAACTATGTATTGCAGTGTTGTTTGCATGTGTGAAATGTATTAAATCTACGCCATATTTCTTCGAATTAACTGTCCTTGATTGAGTTCCTTTTTCACAGTCGTATATGACAATTTGGTCATCCTCACTACATGATATTAAATGTTCTCCGTTTGGTGAAAAGTCAATAGCATTGATTTTGTCTGTATTTTCTCTAAAAACTTTGGCCACCTTTAAACTCCTTACAACAGGATCTATAAGTTTCATTTTCATTTTGTGTCGACTTCTATTACATTCGGCAATTACTTCTATATTTAATATATCGCGAAGTCGGCGTAGCGCTGGTAAACAATTTATGACAAAGTCGATAGTATCGATACTCCTTTAAAAAGGTTATCGATATACCTTACGTGAATTTAGCAAAATATACAACGTACATGGTAAAATGCAACGCCTATATAAGGTCGGCAGAGAAATCTACTGTTGACAACTACCTACTCACCTAACTCCAGTCTCGTTATGGACACAACCCATGCAGGTTGCATCCTCTTTGAGACTCGACTTAAAGTGCCCTGAAGACGTTCAAATTTTTTCGTCAAACAGCTTATATGTGTGTGTCCATGTTGTCGGCTCTGCTTGATGGAAAATCAAAATATTTTGATATTTTTATTTGAACAAATCTATTTGAACGTCTCCATTACTGTTTGTCAAACAAAATGCCATTTATGTTGTAACGTTGAGGAGTAAACATGAATAGTAAGTGCGCGGACGAAAAAAAATTACAATAAAATTTATTGGAATGTACCAATGCCTTGATGCATTGTGGAATGTGCGGGCAGACGCGTACAGTAATACGGATGAGAAGAAACAACAATGGACAGGGTTGTTATAATGGCTTCACACATTTCAATTATTATCAATCCAAGGGATCTTGGAGATATAGCCGTTAAAAATTTGATGTCTTCAAATTTGTTCCGAGTGGCTAAATATCTCAGCGTTGCTGACAGACGCATATTCAGTTCTATGGCTTCTCGTATAACCGTATTTTTTTTCAATATATGGTTTTACCATTGCTAGGAGTTCATCGAAAGATTCCGAATCCATCCTCAAAAAATTTCTGTAGTCATCAACACTACTCATTCGCAGCTCCTTCAAAAGGTTTTCATGTATAAATCTTTTGCGCTGTTCATACCACTTTTTCATCCATATTTTCTTTTTCATTTCCAATTTTTTTTAACACAGCTGCTGTCACGAAAAGCCACTCATCTTCCGACGACGACATGACTACACTCAACGAAAATAATTACAAAATGAATGTTTGACAAACTTGTTTGTACGTTTGCGGGCAAAACACGAAGATACACAATAATACATACGCACTTGCTTGATGAAAAATTGTGAACGTCTCCAGGGCACTTCAAGACAGAACCAGATTGAATGGAGTCAGAAAATGGAAACCGAACGAACACAGATGTATGAGCTGCTACACAACAACAACTGTTGACAACAATTTGACAATATTCATAGTAGTTTTTGCGCTAATGCGATTTGACTCTTTGAATTTCAAATCACAATTATGTTTTTGACAGCAAACTTAAGGTGAGAAAAAAACGCTTTTTGACTGGAAGTCATCGGCTGGCTTCTTCGTAGAGGAAAAAAGGTGTTTCAGGTTGATTTAGCTCGATTTTGGCCCTACGCTACCTTGTTCTTTTTCGAGGAAGCCAACCGATGACTTAAGACATTCAAAAAAGCGTTTTATGTATTCTCACCCTTAGTAGTCAGATGGACTTTCTGGCCGACCTTATTATAGGCTTACCATGTCAAAATTTGATTTATGTATTCTGGAAGAGAGCACATATGAAAATTGCTTAGGAAATATTCAAGTTCGGTTGTAATCAAAATGCTTATTAAAACCAATGTATGGATAAAATTTACAGTTTGGTGGCGCAATGAATCTTTAGAGATATATAGAATATGGCTTGGGAAAGAAACGGCCTCTTTATTTACAATTTTTCCCAACTTAGCCTGCCTTGTCTTCATTGCACCATGACAACGTATTAGTTCTACCCATGGTACAATAAAAAGGTAATGTAGAGCTATCAGCTGATTACAATTTTTTTCTAAGTGTGCCCGACTTATGCAATTTTGTGTGTGTAGTTATTGTTTAAAAAAAAAAACAAAATATTTTCAAAATCAGTGATTGGAAGAAATACACATTAGAGGCGGAACTTGGATCTATTTTGCCATGAAATTGAAAGATTTCATGCATTTTTTCGCGTTATTTAAGTCAATTTGAAAATGCGTAAAAGTATGAAATAGAAGGAAAGAACACTCCATTTTCGGCCAGCGGCTGCCAACCCAGTGTATACATGTTCGTGTTTGTTTATTAATGGGAGCAGCACATCCCGGAGTTCTTGCTCCGGATTCTTTTGGTCCATGCCGAGAATGAGGAAAACCCCGGACCCTGGTTTTGTACGGTTTGCCAAAACATCATCCACCACAGATCAGTTTCGGTGCCATGGATGAAGGATGGGTGAATTTTAGGAATCGTTCCGGTTTAATGCGGTTGCGAGAATATAGTGGTAGTTCCCAGTAAGTCGACGACCTCGTCGTCAACTTCCGAGTCGTCGTTGCAGTATGGACCTCTCCCTCAGTCTCCAGAACACCAGCATTTACCGCAGTACTTAACGTACCATGTTGCTGTTCAAATTCCGGACAGTACATCGTTCTTGCAATTCTATTGCAACGGACTCCGAGGTAAAACTGATGAGATAGTGGATTTTTTGAGTCGGAGGAATATCTTGATCACAGCGGTGCCGGAAACCAAGCTCAATGAAAATTGTAGCTTACAACGTATTGAGGAAGGCTCGCACCAGAACTGGAGGTGGGGGACTAGCGTTCCTGTTACACCATTCCGTTCAATACAGACCTATCTCCTTTGAGCCAGTCTCTAGTGACCCATACATGGAATGTATGGGGGCAACAGTCAAGTGTGGATCTGTAGAGATGCTTAATGTGTAGATACCGCCGGTTAATAGCTGTGAACCGCGTTGCCTAATAAAAGCCTGGGATTTCAATGATCACCATCGACATTCCAACCTATGTAATGACCAGAGGGGATTAGCTTTGGTAGAGCAGATTTACTGCTCCACATTTTGCACGGTAAACGAGGATGCCACCACCTGAATAAGAGCGGAAAGGATTTTGCGGGACATCATAAACGCTGCAGCCGCTCGCTATATAGCTGCTGGTCGAGTTCCCGAAGTAAGGCAAAATTTCCCAGCAGAGGTTAGTACAGGAGAATAAGCGGAAAATGGCTAGACCATCTGAAGTACTGCAACATTGGAACCGAATTAAGTAAAATGTGGGTAACGGTTAAGCAGTCACATTTAACGACATAAAGGTAACTGATCTGAAGAGGTGCGCTGCCCATTTTAACCGCCAATTTGTCGAGCACCCGGAGAGTAATAGGGCGAGACGAAGAGTACTACGTCGTATAAGAGCCCTTCACGCCGAGGATGTACCTCCAAAGTTTACGGTGGGTGATATTGCGAATGTCATCCAAAGCGTTGGGCCAGATGGAATATCAATGGTAATGTTGAAGCAACTGGATACACAGGGAGTTGAGTATCTAACAGAAGTCCTTAAACTGTCGTTAGCCACCCACATAGTTCCCGAAGCCTGGAAAATGGGCATTGTGGTCCCGCTACTGAAGTCAGGCAAGAATGCCAGCAAAAGTGAATCATACAAGCCAATTCCGCTTTTGTCGCCAGTAGCAATGACTCTCGAGGCTATACTCCTCCCCATTATCAGAAGAAGTTATTCTGTTGCTAACCATCAACACGGTTTACGTCCACTACATAGTACCACAATAGCATTTCACGCCATATCCAAACATACCAGTCGAGGACTCAACCAGAACAGGCCGTGCCACAGAATAATTGTCCAGACAAGCCTGTCCAACTCCGTCCAGTGGATCTCTGGCTAGAGCTCATAAAGGTAACAGAATTCCTTAACCTAGACATCGGAAAAGAACGACATATCTTTAAATTTTTTCAAAATTATTATTATTATTATTACTATTATTATTACTATTACTATTATTATTATTATTAATATTATTATTATTATTAATATTATTATTATTATTACTATTACTATTACTATTACTATTACTATTACTATTATTATTATTATTGTTATTGTTATTGTTATTGTTATTGTTATTGTTATTGTTATTGTTATTGTTATTCTTATTGTTATTGTTATTGTTATTGTTATTGTTATTGTTATTGTTATTGTTATTGTTATTGTTATTGTTATTGTTATTGTTATTGTTATTGTTATTGTTATTGTTATTGTTATTGTTATTGTTATTGTTATTGTTATTGTTATTGTTATTGTTATTGTTATTGTTATTGTTATTGTTATTGTTATTGTTATTGTTATTGTTATTGTTATTGTTATTGTTATTGTTATTGTTATTGTTATTGTTATTGTTATTGTTATTGTTATTGTTATTGTTATTGCACGGTAAACGAGGATGCCACCACCTGAATAAGAGCGGAAAGGATTTTGCGGGACATCATAAACGCTGCAGCCGCTCGCTATATAGCTGCTGGTCGAGTTCCCGAAGTAAGGCAAAATTTCCCAGCAGAGGTTAGTACAGGAGAATAAGCGGAAAATGGCTAGACCATCTGAAGTACTGCAACATTGGAACCGAATTAAGTAAAATGTGGGTAACGGTTAAGCAGTCACATTTAACGACATAAAGGTAACTGATCTGAAGAGGTGCGCTGCCCATTTTAACCGCCAATTTGTCGAGCACCCGGAGAGTAATAGGGCGAGACGAAGAGTACTACGTCGTATAAGAGCCCTTCACGCCGAGGATGTACCTCCAAAGTTTACGGTGGGTGATATTGCGAATGTCATCCAAAGCGTTGGGCCAGATGGAATATCAATGGTAATGTTGAAGCAACTGGATACACAGGGAGTTGAGTATCTAACAGAAGTCCTTAAACTGTCGTTAGCCACCCACATAGTTCCCGAAGCCTGGAAAATGGGCATTGTGGTCCCGCTACTGAAGTCAGGCAAGAATGCCAGCAAAAGTGAATCATACAAGCCAATTCCGCTTTTGTCGCCAGTAGCAATGACTCTCGAGGCTATACTCCTCCCCATTATCAGAAGAAGTTATTCTGTTGCTAACCATCAACACGGTTTACGTCCACTACATAGTACCACAATAGCATTTCACGCCATATCCAAACATACCAGTCGAGGACTCAACCAGAACAGGCCGTGCCACAGAATAATTGTCCAGACAAGCCTGTCCAACTCCGTCCAGTGGATCTCTGGCTAGAGCTCATAAAGGTAACAGAATTCCTTAACCTAGA